AGCTCAAATCCTGTATAAAACCTAGTTTCAGGAATTAAGAGTTAGGAGGAGTGGGTGGTATATTGAGCTTCTGCAAAGGGTGAGTGTAGCTGTAGGGATGTCTGTGCAATACTGAGAGCATTTTTTGCAGCCTGTGCAGGCATACTTGAGCATCATCTCATCTCCCTTGATGTGTACCTATGACAATGAAGTCATGGAAACAGTGGCTTCAGTGCCTGCAAGATGCGGCAGATGGGCACTGGCTACTTATTCTGGCAGCTATATCACACAATAAAGGCTGTGCTGCTGGGTCTTGGCTGCTTGGTTCTCATCAAGCTAGCTGGATTGACACATACACGGCAGCTGTAATCATCTCTTTGGTTGCAGTATAACTTTTGGTGTTGCACTATGCCTTTGCCCTGGATAGGGGATATTCTATGGCTCTACCCAGCCACAGGCATGGGAATCAGCTCATTTGCAGTGCCACGACAAGAAAGCAAGAACTGAGGCACTGGCCCATTTCCCCCACTCTTGAATCACATCACCTACTCATGGTGGGAGCTTCTGTCACATGATCCAACATAGTCTATATAATATTAAACAATTTTTGTAATCTAGGTACCATCTTGCAGCAGTGTTCTCAGAGAAGGCAAAGAGTGTACAAATAATATAGTCACTCTGAGTTCTCACTAGTTCTTAGACTGCAAAGGGGCAAGTGTTCTGCTTGTTCTGCTTTTTCAGCTTGGATATAAGGAAAAAAGTACAATGCTGGCATTTCAGTCTCACAGAACTAAAGATTCTTACACAGCTCAAAGCCTGGTGATTTAACTTTTGCTCCAGAAGAAACACCTCTTGTATTCTTCTACCCAGTATAGGGGAGCAATGGAGAACTAGGGTAAGTAATACCCTGTGATCTATCATTATTCATATTCAGAGTGACCTATCATTATTCTTCAGGTTCTTAGAGTCTACACTGGCAAGCAATAGCCTCCTACTTCATGCAAGTTTATTGTGGAGGAAGGAATAGTGGTGGTTATCACTCTCTCTTGCATCCTTCACGCCAAATGCTAAGGTCATACAGAAAATTAGAACAGGTTAATCCTCCCCCCGTACTCATTTTCACAACAAAATTGTTACTGTGAATCATACATCAGTTTATGATGGGATCATACATCCATTTATGAACTGAATTATAGGATAAGATTGACCACAATAACAAGGGACTGGATTTGATAACCGAATAAGCCTTTTGCACTCTGCTTACTTTCCTGCTCAACGATTTAGCCCACGCACTGTCTGGTCTGAATTCCATGGGATTCCTCCACATACTCAGTTTACATGAGAAGCTGTATATACAGAATGAAGGGTTCATTAAACATCAGAACTTCCTGGCCTTTTCTTTGCCTTCACACTTTCCCTTTGATAGCTGAATGTGCTGCTTTACTTAAGAAAACCAAAGTGCCCTGGCAGGAGGGAGGCATAACACAAGCACGTGCCCTGAATACGGAGAGTTGCGAGTGCAGCTCTGGCAGTGCATCTCATTCCCGACCCTCAGCACCTCTGCCATGGGCACGTCTGCAGAGCTCATCAGGGCAGACTTAGCATGCATAGCAAACACCCTGTACAATGGTGCAACTATGCAAAAATTATCCACTGAGGGGAAACTCTTAGAGCAGTAAGCTCCTTCTCTGCTTAACTGGAAAGTGAGGACATGCGTCTTTACAAAAGAAAATGCTAATAGTCTGTGTCACTCTAGTCTCTCCCTCTTCAGCCTCTTTTCCTGTCTCTTAAACCTGACGATACCTGCTTATACGTGTTCAGTGAACCCAGCGGTCTTGCACATTCTGGTTTAGATTCATTTCTTGGCTGAGGTGAGCAATGTGAATAAAGCTCTGTACGTAGATCTAGGGGAATCTGAAGGTTGATTTTAAACTTGTAGCTAGGTTACAAGGATAAAATGACAATGTAAAATCTTGCGTTATGTCTGGTTTAGAATGGAGCTCTTGCATATCCATCAAAGCATTTTACTTTAGTGCTTTCAAATTAAGAAATTCTGCATCATACACTGGGTATTTAAGACTATGCACACACATACACCCACACTCAGAGTATTTCAATGAATAATAAAATCTTCTTATTACTAAATAATCTATCAAAAGTCACAAAGCTAAATGGGATATTCAGACCAGGATCAACTAAAGCTTTCTGTTTCTCCACTTCCCCATCACTGGTTTCACACTGTGCTTAACAATGTGATATTTTCATGCAAGTTTTACTGTAGTTGTAACAGGGCCAAAAATACTAAAACATAACTAAAATATCCTTGGATCCTCATAATTTACTGTGATAGCGTAATAGTGATTTTTTTTTTACGTGTAATTCTTTATCTACTGTATTTTAGGAATGGTTCCTTGATGATATTAAAGCATCTCTGTAAATTTAATGGATTCATAGTGAATTATTAAGCTTGAACATTGTAAATACTTTTTATAAAGATTGCTTCTCATTGGTGCTTTAATAATTTTAAAACACAATGACAAATACAAATCTGAACTTAATATCTCATGTCATCTCTTCATAAAATAGTGCTTTTGCCTAACAGCATTAACACTGTCCAAGATGAGTCTGTTCTGCCAGCCTACCTGCAAAAGCTGAGCTGGTCTAATTGTTCCAGCATGTCAGAACATTTTACATTAATGTTGGGAAGTTTTGCTACCCATATATTATGTTCTGTTGCAACTTTTTGGCACATCCTCTGACTTTAAGTGAGGTAATAAGCTTTTAACACTAACACTGAAGGAAGATAAGCCATGTTTTTCAAAGCTTGTGTTCTGGGCCGTATCTACAAGCTGGGGTGCAGCATGATACAATTGGCATTTCTCTGCATGTCAGTGGCTGCTGCACAGAGAAAAGATTCAGTCCCAGATAGGAGGAGACTTGAAGATGCTGCTTGGATCCTGCAGGCATTGTCACCAGCAGAATCAGCACAACCCCCAGCTGGTTTCATCCTGCTGAGCAGTCTTGCATTGGCTAGTCCTAACATTTCTAAGAGACAGGAGCTTGCCATCCTCTTCCTTCTCTGCCTGCATGAATCTACCACCACTAGGAATCCAGCTGCACAAGACCTTCTGTGCAAATTAAATACTATTGCTGCTGGAAACACAATAAAAAGGGAATTAGTGAAACTTCTATTGCTAGTTTCCTTTAAAAGGCTCATAAAAGGTAGGCTTTTTAGTGAAATTACAGAAAGACATAACATGTCTTTTCACCCATTCTAAACCGCTGTCAAAATCACTACAGCACAGAGCATGCTTTCTGATTTGGTACACGTGTGTACCAAGAATATTAAAACATAACAAAAAATCCTTGGATCCTCATAATTTACTATGGTATCGTAATAGTGATCTTTTTACATGTGATTCTTAATCTGCTGTATTTTAGGAATGGTTCCTTGATGGTGTTAAATCACCTTTGTAAATTTAATGGATTCACAGTGAATTATTAAGCTTGAACATTATAAATACTTTTTGTAAAGATTACTTCTCGTTGGTTATCATGTTAAGCAGGAACATGCCCATGTCCACTTAGAGAGCTGTAATCACCACATCTGGTTAAAGAGCAGAACTTTTATCTTTTCTGCCTACTTTTAAAAACTTCTGGCTCTATTTTCTTTTATTATGAGTACTGAACACCAAGATTTTTTTCATGTGTATCAAAAAAAGTGCTTTGATTAGACAAAAGGAATACATTTCATTTTGGGTAAGTTCACTGTTCTGAAAGGTACTTCTAATTTTTCAGTTAAATGACCAAACCAAAATGAACTATTTGCACAGTTCTTACAGGTACCTCACTGATGCGCTAGAAGGCTTATTTAAATAGTACTTGTGAAGCAACCTGAGAACTACAGAAATGCTGAATAAGATGCATTTATGGCCACTTCTCCTTTTCCTACCTCCCACTTCATTGATAGAGGTGTGTCTGCTTTGCCACTTCTCTGGCACTAAACTATGCACCGAAAAACACTAAGGCAACTGTCTCCTTGGGCTTCCCTGTATCCAGCTCTGGCTATTAAGGCTGATGTGATGTAATGCAAAAAAAAAAAGGCAACACAAAAGCAATAAAAATTCCTATTACAAACCAGCTTAAATGTCACAAATTCAGCATCCATTTGTACCTTTGCCTGCTCATCTCCAAAGCTTGAGCCCCAGATCACTGGATATGAAAACTTTGTCTATGTAGGTTCAGTTTCAAACTAACAAACTTGCAAACCTTCCCACTTTCAGTAAAGCTAAAGATCCCTGGGCATTGGCCAGTGTTTCAGTAAGGTTTCAGTTAAGGTTCACGGGTGGAAATAAACTTCCTACAAAAATGTGCCAGATAAAATCAATTATTTTAAAAATGCTAATCCAGAGGTGGAGACCACATTTGTAGTGAGCTAGGTGTTGAAGACTTCTGTGTTTGTAACATGGTCTGCAGCAGAGGACACTCAGATGGCTCCTGGCTGAATTTTTCTCAGCTTTGTGCTACTTCTTGTCCACAGAGATACATGGTGGTCTAATGTGTGAACCTTCCTAACGGTTTCTTTGCACAATTGTCTGTAAAGTATTTATATGAACTTTTTAACAGTAATATATTGTTTAAAATTCTTGTCCTGTACAGTATAATTATTATCTAAAAGTTGTTTGGGTTTTGTTTTTTTTTAAGCCTGGATGAACCTCCCTGTCCCTCCCTGTGGACCAGGTACTAGTTGCAACACAGCACTGTCCTATCACTACATCTAAAATTTCGTTGCAGTTTTATTTACTTTCTGGCTCTTGAGACACAAAATCTGCAAATGAAAAGCAACGACTTGCTGCTTCGTGTTGCTAGGAAATGGATGCTGCTCTGTGATGTCATGGCAGTGCAGCATGGGTGTTACAGTGAGTTTGAGAATTTTCCGTTGGGATTCTGAGTCAGTTGGTGACTTCCTTTCAGCTGGCTGTCTGGCAGGACATCTATCAGCCATCTAGCTGCTAAGGTAGATGGCTTCAACTGAAAAATTTACTCAAACTGAGAAAAAAGATTTGAAAATGGAGCTTTCCTCTTTGGAAACTTCATGTGATTCTGTTCTGGCCAAGGGAGTTGATTTGTCAGGCTCAACTTCTTCTCTCCATCCAACATGTGACAAAAGAGCAGCTAATGACGCTGCCTTTGGACCTCCAGAAGAAGAAAGGTCTTTACAAACTTCAGCTAAGCAACCCTGGTCAAAAAGAGAGCATCTGAATCCACCTGAGGAGAGCTCTAGCAAAGGCAATGACTCTGCATGCTTCAGCTTTATGAAGAAGCTCTGGAATGTTGTTGAAAGCGATCGCTTTGAGTCCATTTGGTGGGGTGATGACGGCAAATGTGTAGTGATTCATGAAGAACTGTTTGAAGAGGAAGTACTAGCAAGGGGAGGACATCTGAGAATTTTTGAAAGTGAGAGCATGAGAAGCTTCGCTCATCAGCTCCATCTGTATGGATTCACCAGAAAGCTGCAGGACGTTCCAAAATCGGGCTCACGTGATGACTTGCTAGCAGAAGAAGCAGCAAGGGAGGTACGTTGGATCTGCTACATGCAAACTAACTCTCAGAACCTTCTGGGGGGGCAGATTTCTGTTCCGATGAAATAAGCCTTTACTACACTGGAGATGAGGATGGTAGTCAATGTTCTCTGATTGTCGTTTCTTTCTTGACTTGTGTTCAGGAGATTTTGAGGTAGCATTTCTAAGTAGCAGAAATGCTGATAAAATACACATTGGTTATTTCCAATTACTTTCAACACATAAAATGAAAAAATATTCTCATTGTTCTGGGATTTTTTGTGGGGAGGTATTTGCTGTGTGCCTTGGTATACCTTGGTATGCCTTGGTACATGTCAGCACCATATGGTTACCTATGTGTTCATTCCACGCTCCAGTTGCTGAAAGATAATGTTATTTGGGTTTCTAAATCAGTTTGTATGCTTTTGAAAAGCCTACACTTTTCCACTACCAAGTGACAAAACCACAAGGCTGGTTACTACTTAACAGGCCTGTATCGACCATTTTATTCAGCCAGAACTTCAGGTTTGGAACTCTCCCGATAGTCTTTTGCAACATCCGCCTTTCTCTTTTGCAATTAAAATCTTTAGTTCTCTTGTCATTGTGGTTTCTAGTCTCAAGGTGCTAGCAGCTAACTCTTTTCCTTTGCATTTTTTAGCTTCACTTCTACTACAACCCAAATTTTAGAAGACATTTTCCATATCCACTAATGAAGTATAAGCAAAGCTTTTGTCCAAAGAATCAAACATCAGCAGGATTTACACTGGACCCCACTTTACATGCGTTCTGCTGGAAAAGAAAACCAGAGGTTGAGCTTGCATGGGAAACCATTTGTGAGGAGGAGAGCGGTCTGTCAACAGCAGGTCCAAGGGAGGATGTGCACACCTCTGCACCCAGGAAGACAGCACCTGCCAAGCGACGTGCCACGGCAGCTACCCGAGTTAGATGTGCTTCTGCATCCGCACGCACTGCTGCTCTGACAAACGCAGACCCTGTGGCAGCAGGAGGTGGGGAGAAGCCCAGTCGTCTGTCCCCCGCACTTTTTGCCGCAGCACAGCAGCCCCAGCCCAGTTGGCACCCAGGGTGCTGCTTCTGCTGCTGCCTGACGAGGTGATGCCACGCCGGCCGTGCCCCACAGTCACGTTCCACCAGGGCTGGCACCTCCCACCTCTACAGCGGTGCTGGCACCAGCCACTGCTCTGGCTATGCCAAGGCCACCTCAGGGCCAAAGGCCACTGCACTGCCCCTGCCCGACTGGCACTTGGGGTCCAAACAGGGGACGGGCAGGCACTGGCCTTGGACCCCCACCCAGGGCATGCTAGGGACCTTCTGCAGCCCTCTTAGAAGTTGTGTAGTCCAAGGGAATAGAGTCTCGTAAGTGTTCCAATAAACTGTCTGGGTACAAAGCCTCTGCCACTTGTCGTGTCCTGTTTTTACAGTGGAATCCTGCCCAGGCCCTAACATGAGAGCACAGCAACAGGCCAAAATGAAGGGACATTGATTCCGTTTCATTGAAGAGAAGGTGTGGGCTTGCTGACCAGCAAACAGAAATGGAAAAGGATTTAGAATTTACTGTATTGTATCGAGTGTCTGGAAAAAGTCACTCCAGTTCCAGAGTCCTTTGCTGACGAGCAATCCTTGAAATAAAATATCAAGCACTGAAACCATCTCCTTCATTTTCCTAATGAATTCAAGAGTGAAACTATTGAGGTCAGTAATGGGATTAGGTTCCAACTGATCTTAGAGAGGAATCAAATTATTAGGTTTTGTTCTTTTGACATATAAGGAAAAGATACCCTTTTAGAAGTAGGAAGTGACAGAGAGTTTAACCTAGAAATAAATAGCACTATAGCATTATTCCTCTGTTTCATGCAGGAAACAGGTTCAAGATGACTGTGTGAGTTGTATACGCTGCAATCACTCATCAATTGTGCTTCACAGTGGCAGTCTGTAATGCCAAATTTGAAGACATCACTTCCCTAAAATATCTTTTTGCCTCTGTTGGCTTTAGAATGGCCCCACTTCAACCCTGTATCTAGCTTTTTCCTAGAAACACCTGATTAATGTCAGTTGAGGACCAAAATTTATTCTGTCCTCTCTCAGACAAAAATCTTGCTGGCCTCCAGAAGACTGTCATTGGCATCGAGTGTGCAGCACTGCTCCCTTGTTATGTGATAAAGAGTCATCATTTTCATTCATAGTAAAAGGTAATAAAATAAAAAGTCTTTAAACAAATCCAGAAGTGTTTTGAAGATCAGAGGAGAGTGGGATTGAATTTTGCACCACAAATAGTGTGTCAGTATCCAGCTGCATGCTTTGCAGGTTTGGGTACACAGGAGACTACCACATACAACTTCAGTGGTATGAAATAAAATGACGGGCTGATGGGTTGGGCTCAAAGAGTTAGAGTAAATGGGGTTACATCAGGCTGGTGGCCACTCACCAGTGGGGTTCCTCTGGGCTCAGTTTTAGGGCCAGTGCTCTTTAATGTTTTTATAAATGATCTGGAGTCAAATGTACATTAAGTAAGTTTGCCAATGATACTAAACTAGGAGGAGCTGTGGACTCCCTCGAGGGTAGAGAGGCCTTACAGAGAGATCTGTATAGACTAGAAAGCTGAGCAGTCACCAACCACATGAAATTTAGTAAGAGCAAGTGCCAGACTGCACCTGGGACAGGGTAATCCTGGTTATACATACAAATTGAGGGATGAGAGGCTGCAGAGCAACCCTACAGAAAGAGATCTGGGGTCTGGGTTGATGGCAAGTTAAATATGAGCCAACAGTGAGCCCTGGCAGCCAAAGGAGACAAATGAGTCCTGGGGTGCATCAAGCACAGCACAGCCAGCCAGTTGAGGGAGGGGATTGTCCTGCTTTACACTGCACTGGTGCAGCCCCACCTCCAGTCCTGTGTGCAGTTTTGGGCACCTCAATATAAGAAGGACATCAAACTGTTAAGAGTGTGTCCGAGGAGGGTGACCAAGGTGGTGAAAGATCTTGAGGGCAAGACTTAGGAGCTGCTGAGGTCACTTGTTTTGTTCAGCTTGGAGCAGAGAAGGCTGAGGAGGGAACTCATCCCAGTCTACAGCTTCCTCAAGGGGGGCAGTGGAGAGAGAGCTGCTCATCTCCTCTCTCTGGTGACCAGCAATAGGACACGAGGAAATGGAATGAAGCTGCATCAAGGGAAGTTCAGACTGGATATTAGGAAAAGGTTCTTCACTGAGAGGGTGGTCGGTCACTGGAACAGGCTCCACAGGGAAGTAGTCTCGGCACCAAGCCTGCCAGAGTTCAAGGAGCATCTGGATGACGCTCTTAGTCATATGGTTTAGTTTTAGGTAGTCCTGTGAGGAGCAGGGAGTTGGACTTGATGATTCTTATTGGTCCCTTCCAACTCAAGATATTCTATGGTTCTATAAGATGACCCTGGATCAAGAAGTGTGAAATGTGCCTTGATTTTACAGGCAATTTAAAGACCAGAGGCTAAGTACAGAATTGTTCATCAAGTCCACAGTGATGTAGACCCCGACCACATGGTAGTAGTACCTGTGCCACAGCCATAGGGGCACTAAAAGGCCTTAATGGCCCTGTCTGGCCTCACCTGTGGCTTTCACCCAAACCCTCCCAATGGCCCAAGAGCCCTGTTTAAGCTTGGCTCCAGGCCTGTGGTCTCAGATGGATCTCTCCCAGAAGTGGGCTGGGCCTGGCTCCCCAGCTTCAGACCTGCTGGCTGACTTTGTAGTTTGACCTCAGACCTACTTGACCACCAGGGACTTGTCTGATGATCTGGACTCTGAGCTCACCCTGGCCATGCTCTCTGGGTCAGCATCTCTCAGGCACTGTGGGGTGGGTGCTGGTAAGGCCCCTACTTGCCAGCCCTGTTACCCCCAGCTCCCTGTCCTGCATGGACCAGCCAGCCCTTGCTTTGCCCTGACACCCTCTTAGAGGGTATTTGTACCCTTCCATGGCTTGGTTTTGCTTCATGTCAGTAAAAGATGGATGTTTAGCCTTTTTCTCCATGTTAATTCATGGATGGCCAAGTTTACCACCTCCACTTTGGAGGGATGGAAATTGTATCTTCTATACCGGGTTTGGTACAAATTCCCAACTTTTTTCAGCTCAAAGGGAAAGTTAGGGGTGCAGCTGAAGCACTAGTTTAGGGACAAAAAGGACATCCAAAGTCATCTGCTTCTTATCTCCCTCTTTGAGGTGGTGAACTAAGGGTAAAGAAAATACATTAGTTTATCTGTGACGGGTAAAGCTGTCCTTTCCTGTCCTGCAGGGAGTTGGCTATAGCCATCCAGGACTATGACAGCTCTTGCCTGGATTATTTTTCTTTATTTGTGCCCGAGTAAGAAGCTCAGTCATATCAGCTTTGATGGGGATGAGAGGTGGCAGACAGTTATGAGGTAGGACAAGCCAAGGGGAGCCTATTATGTCAGTACTCTGCAGTTTCCTCTGATTACTTACAGTCAGCTCTACAACAGGGTTTTGATGCTGTTTTTAACAGGGTAAATATGTGGGGCATTTAAAAATCATCTCCTTACAGAAAACCCCAGGAAAAGATGTGAGCATCCTGCATGCTGCAGCCTCGAGGGCTGTCCTGAGCCTAGCAAAAATGCAGGCTTCACAAGGTCTGAAACAGCTTCTCCTAAACAAGAACGGTCTAATATCTAAGGTGTTGCCAATTTGGGAAAGCCCGGTTGTTTTCCTCTGAGAACAAATTAGTTTTGCCACTTTCTTTTTCCAGTTACTTAAAACTCTTCCTTGTATTTTGGAGGTTTTTATCAAGTTATTAGAAAACAAATTTTCCTGTGCCTTCAGCAGTCAAAACACACACACAAAAAATTTATTGCCAAAGACAAGGGAAAAATTGCTCTGTCTTGTTTGTCAGCCTCTTGCCCCAGATATTGGGTTTTTTTTTCCATAAAACTTTCCACCCTATTAAAAGCTATTTTCTCTTCAAAGTTTTGATGATAAAATGCACTTTGTTCAACAGTAAATTTCACAGTATCTCTTACCATCTGCTTCACTGCAAAAGATTTTCCCTCGATGAAGACAAAATATATAAACACAGGAATGCAGATTTCATGTCAGCAAGTTCTGCTCTAGAGATTAGGAACTATTTGCATGAGCAGGGACTGTTAGCTTGATTGTATCTTAATATTGAGCAGTCCCTAAATTGCTGGTTAAATAAAGCCAGACAAGATACAGATAGACTGATTTTTATTTATATAATGTATATCATTAAGATAATACAGAATCTGAAGGAGCTGTAAGAATACAAATCTAAGAAATCAGATCTATGCAAATAACTGACTTGGGGCATGATCAAAGGAGTTTCTGATTAAATTAAATGAACTGTTTGACCTGACGGATCTTGTTTTGGAGGGTTTTAACATTTCCTTAAACTTTCATGTATGAATGAACTTTTTTAAACAAAATACAAACCCCAAAATTTTATTGACCTGCCGATATTTTCATCCATAACTCTTTCAAGTTGATCTGAATTTTAATTTTCCTTTTCTTCCTCCTTAAATGCCATTTATTTGTTCTGGCACCTAACTTATTTACTGGAAAACAACTTGCTGCAGGAATGAAATGTGGAATATTGTGAGCTCAATGGCTCTCACTCTAACCAAAAGACTGAGGACTTGCACTGTAGTATGCACATGAACCAGGAGTCAGTGCAGAAATAGTAGGGTAGGGAAGACGTCATTTAGTCCCAAACAGAAGTCTAGCTGACATGGACACACAGTATTTGGAGGAAGACAATTTTTGTCTTACCTGACTCTCAGCGACAGTTGCAGAACAGCCTTGTAATATTTTCCAGAGTCTAAAACCTCACCAAGTGCAGTTGATGTATGCTGAGCAAAAGAGAATGGTTTTGAAAGAGACCCATTATGCTACACACCTCACCTGGGTCTCAAGAATCTTGTTTGCTCAGTGCCCAAGAGCAAGTATGAGACTTATTTAGTCAGTTACATGAAAACTTGGACTTTAGGCCTCAGTCTAGCAACACTTCTACAGTTTCTGAACTCTGTTCTTGTGCCTAATTGTCTTGGTTATTTCGGGATTGCTCAAGGTTGTAAAGTCAAGGACATGTTTGCAGAACTGA